TGATTACTCAGATTACTTGTGTACGTTTGGTAAAATCAAACAGTAAAACCAGCTCTCACCTTTCCTGGTCATGCTGGTTGATTACTTGTGTACGTTTGGTAAAATCAAACAGTAAAACCAGTTCTCACCTTTCCTGGTCATGCTGGTTGATGGTCCTGTCGATAAACTGCATGACTTGGAAGGAGACCGAGTTTTTTTTAAGGAAGTATTACTTTTTTTCACGAGCTTTATGATCTTTCTCTCTGGATACTTAACCAATGAGTTTTTGCTGTCTTTCTTTTCACATTCTGTTTTATACCTTTGTGATGATGTCACTGTCGGTTCAAAAGCTCTCTTTCGAGAAGTTTTTGTGTTATCTGTTCTTTCTAACGGAAAATTTAATTTCTTTGGTGAAGACCTGCTCAGTTTTATTTTGCTGTCTCTATTAGGACTTTCATGTTTTTTAGTGGTAAAAGGAAGTTTTCTTTGATAGTCACTTGAGCTGGAAACTAAAGCATCACTTCCACGTTTTACAGAACGTCTAAAAGGAGAAACCGATGCAGTAGTGTTTGATGGAGAAGTAGGTGAAGCTGGTGTAACATGTGGTCGTTTTCTAATTGTAAGTGGAGACTGGCCCGGAGCTCTTTGAACACACTCAGCCTGTTTTCTTTCTTTATCTTTCTATAAACAAAATATTTGTATATAATTAAAATAGCACCTTCAGTATTTCAATGAATTTTTCTAAATATTAGTATATTCGCATAGTACAGTTTGAAAAATATTTTGAATTTTAATGTGCTTCCTTCATACCCATGTGGTAAGTTTCTAGAGCATTATTGACCACTATCACACATATTACAAAATATTTCTTTAAAAGGCCATAGTATTTCTTCCTTAATAAAATTATAATAATCACTTGAATCTAATATATATTTTATACATAGGAATATTTAAATAAAGTAAAAAACAACATAATATAAAGTCAGGTTAAGAATTATTCAAACAGTTAAAAAAAGAAAAATATTACACAAAAAATCAGTTTGTACAAAGTTAAATAAAAAGCATATGAAATCAGGTTAAGGAGGCTTGTACAAAGTTAAACAAAAGAACATATGAAATCAGGTTCAAGACAGTTTGTACAAAGAAAATGAAAAATATAATATCAGGTTAAAGACAGTTTGTGCATAGTTAAGCAAAGAAAAAAGTTTAGAAATAATTAGTGTAAAGTTATTACTAAATAAGCATTATTAAAAGAAGTCGTATTAATGTTTCTTTGGAAGATGAACAGTCTTCAAAATCTTTACCATTGTGAGGAAAAAAAATACAACTTAAAGATAAGTCATAAACATAGAGCCAGAATAAAGTTAAGCCACTAATAAATAAACATACAGCCAGAATAAAGTTAAGCCACTAATAAACATACAGCCAGAATAAAGTTAAGCCACTAATAAATAAACATACAGCCAGAATAAAGTTAAGCCACTAATAAATAAACATACAGCCAGAATAAAGTTAAGCCAATAATAAATTTTCTCTTTCAGAATGTTAACTTTCTCATACTTAAGTAGCATCTTTAAAATATTTTCAAAAACAGACATTGATTTAACAAACATTCCAGCTGACTTCAAACACATCAACATTTGCATTGGGTCAAAGTGCACATGTTGCAACATTTTTAGTTACATTAAAACTTTAATTAATCCAATTTTTTTATCGATATATTTTGATAAGCTTGGCACCAAAATGTAGGTTATAATTGAAATTTTAATATTATCTAAGTTTTTAATTTCTTAATTTCAAGAAGAAATATTTCAAACATTCTCAATCTTCGAATTTCGGTGTCACATTGACACTCTGATCTCTCTCCACATCTATAGTGCCTAACCACAAACTATACTTGCTGACATGGATGGATATAAAATGTGAACCTCCTAATATCTTGATTTGCTGAGATATCAATAAATTTGTCCAACCAATCAGTGAAGCAACTCTCATTTTGTCATGCATTTCAAGCTAAATATTCACTCATTGCTACTTATCTGATTGACATTTTTAACCAATAGGAAGAGAACTGTAACATGCAGGAATCTTGTGTTCATTTGTTTAATTTTAACTTTCCCAGTCAACATGTTGAGATGTGATCATATTTTTAGTTACTTTTTACCTACATTTCTTAACTATTTTTAGCTTATTCCATAAACCTCTCAATAATATTTAGTAGATAATTATGTTTTAATTTTGGAATTCATTTAGTCAAAATTGTCTTCTTTATTGGAGACAAAATCTTTGAGTTAAATTCAGTGGAATATTCAATTTTCTATGCTTAAAGTGAAGAAGCAATCCTTGACATGTTTCTTGTATATATTTATTTATGTAAATGATAAAACTCACATATATATCTAGATATAGCTTACATTGGACGTAGGGTGACTTGAGTCTGCATCAGCTTTAAGTTGAGGGCAGGTCCAAGACGACATTCCTGTATACATATTAAAGTAGTAAATTCTGTCTGGGTGCGACTTCGAGGGATATTCTACCCAACCATGAGGAAGGGTCGGCTTACGCAGCTTTTTCGTGTCACACATGGTTTTTCGAAGATCTGCAATGAATCACAGTAACTCAATAATAGCTTCAAGTACAAACAGGTTACAAGAGTGAAAATCTAAATAACTCATGAAACTTTGAAAGTCATGTGATACCTTACCTTTCCTGTTTGTTCTGTACGAATGACAAACCCTCACAAAGATGGCAACCATGTAATAACAGCATCAGATTTTGTGTGTGGTATTTGAGTAGAAACTAATATTCATGATACAAGATATTTTATAACAGCGCCCCCTACTAAGAAGACAAGAAGAAGCCCTAAAAGATGCTTGGTGTAGAACAATATGAGAAATAAAGAGATGGACAGAATTTAGGTTGAAGAACGGGCAGAACACCAAATGCAGGGGAGAACCTTCGTAGGTGCCCCGTGGACCACTTGAGGTCTGGAAAGGATTGATCATGATGATTAGTTGGAAATAAACTAAATAAAACCAAAATATTCATTATACTGTTAAACTTATCAGTTGGATTGGTTACACGTCAACCTATAAAGTAAGTCCTTTAGATATTGTCATCACTAGGCTTTTGGACTGGAATCATCTGATGTTAACAAATATTTTATTTAAATAATTCATCCACAACAACTAACTTACAGAGTTTGTGGGTATTTTGAATAAAACACATTTTAATGCCACAAGTTTAATTACTAGGATTTATTAACATAATACTCGTCAAACCTGTCTAATCTACAAAACTGTTAAACACACACATTTAAATATTATGAAATAAAAATTGGACTAATACTAGAATATGAAGTGATACTTTCAACATTATTACAGAAAATCATCCATATTTAATGAAAGGTTAATAAAAAGAAAACTTGTTATATATATACATTTCCAATGTATGTACCGTTAGATACCAACTACTGGCTTGTGTTTTGGTAAAATCAATTTAACCTAAAAGACAAAAATTGGTTACGTATATGCACCAAATATTGAAGTAAGTATAAAATGTACAGTCATATCTCCAGATCTTACCTTAACATCTAAAGGTCATTCACGTATTTAAGGTTTTACAGTTTTGTTGACTCTGTGTAAGAACTTAGGAGGTTCTATCTCACACTGAAAGCACATTATGTGTAGAGTAATATTAAATTTATTACATATGAAATGTCTGAATAAGTGTAAAACATGACAAGTAAATCAGAAAAAATGAACGATTCATAAGTGAGAATAATCCTGGTTGATTAAATCAGTTAGCAATTAATGGAAAATCGATAAGTCCCTAAAAATAGAATGGGTTTAGATGTTTAGTTTTTCCAAAACTGGGTATGTAAGGGCAGCCTTGAAGGGCCAAATGGTCCTTTATTGTCTATATAAAAAAATATATTGTTAAAACTGCATAGGCAACAAAGATATCAAAATTAAATAAAAGGTTCAACAATTGCCAAGTTTTTTTATATTTTTATCTAAAGAAGGATCACATTTCGGGCTAGCATTCTTCGTCAAGTTTGTAAACTGTACGATCTAACAAAGACAGCTAGTTCCAAAACGTCACCCCTCTTTAAATAAAAAATATAAAAAAACTTGGCAATTGTTCAACTTATTATTTAATCTTTATTGTCTATAGGTTATGCTACTGTCATTGCATAAATAACCTTATAAAATACAATAAAATATGCTTCTTTCCTAATAAAATAAGCTACAAGATCTTAACTAATTCCCATAAGGTTACCCTTTCATCCACAAAATCATCCTAGTACTCTCCTTTCTAAATAGATCAATGTACTTCCTTAAGTAAGGAAACCAAAACTGTACACAATACCAAGTGAGGCCTAACCAATTATTTGTATAAAAAGACTCCTTTTGTTGTGTAATAAATATGTCATATAAATACATCCTATAAATCTATTACTTTTACTCTTTCAAGAAAGCATTGTCTCAATGACTTGAGTGGCTTATCTATCACCATGCCAAGATCCTTTTCTTCACAATATGGAACAACCCTATATTGAAGAAAGAATACTGACTATAATTCTGAATTTACTACATGTACCTACACAAAATGGTGAAAGCTTTTAGTGAAATGTAGGACTTGTTTATTGACTACGTCAGTGTGATTCAGACAAGTCGGACGGCAAAGTGATGTTTATGTTAGGAATAGATAATTTTGTCCATATTGTACTTTCAAATCCTTTAGAACCTCTATAATGCATATCTAGTTTTTTTTGTATCCTTGTATATCGTAGTCAGTATTTACTCTCCTCTACCATGAACTGTCACTAAATCAGTAAAGTAGGATACAATGAACAGATAACTCCAACATCAATTACATAATACCATGGCACCCTGCAAAAGGTCATGACCTGCACACTTTGAACCCCACCTATGCACACAAGGTTAAATATGAGACCCAAACTAACCCAAATACATTATTTTGGACTTATTACAATTAAATTGTTATTTATCATGTACTTATTCAATTCACCATTCAATCCAAATGATTCTGTAACACCATCAGGCATACCTTAAAATCTTCATAATATGGCTAGAAATTAGAAGTAGAAATATCAGTCATAAGACTAAGACTATAAGTATAATGTCATCAACAAACTTCACTAATTCATTATGCCCTACCAAACGTTTCATACTTTAAATCAAATTGGTAATTTAACAATTTTACGTAAACGATACAACATGTTTTTAACACAAATTCGAAATAACACTGCCATAGTTCCAATGCCACAAAATTAACACAAGTAATGTCTCTTGTAACTGTGTAACTTAAGATGAATAGAGCTAGGCTTTGTTACTTTGTATTATATTTAAAAAAACATTTTTCGAAGAAATCCTCATAAAAAATAATGCTTACATCAGATGGCCTTAAAAATTTAATATTTACAAATGTCATTTTCTGTTGCTTGTCACTGGGAAAAATTCAATATCAAGAAAGTAAAATGATCAATTACGCCCTGTTTTCCCATGGACGCGAATGTGGAACGCTTGTTTAAAATTTTAATCTTATGCAGAATCGGAATTCGCGTGCAACTAGCAGGTGCAAGTACTTGAACTGGTACTTACCACTTCATACGAAAACCATTGACATGTTTGTTAAAAATACAAGTATTATCACTATCCTCAGAATCACATCTCTCATAACAAATTAATATCAGTATCGTTGATTTACAGCATTCTTCAAAGTCAAACACTATCATAGTACCAACTTTAACACGCACAAGACCTGAACTTCGCAAGCAAAGAATTAAAGTACCTCCAAGCGCCACCTTAACTCTGTGAAAAGTTCGCTACTCATAATATATAAATTCATAAGCAATTTTTGTAAGTCCAAATATTTACTGTTTTAATTTAGATGTTTGCTAGAGAGAGCTGCTAAATGATGAGGAGACTGCGAAATATCGAGAAATAAGGACACAATTATACATACAAGTGAGCATTTAGAGTTGGAGTGCCATTCGTACAGTAAATACTTGTTTTTAGGTTGTTCAGTACTTGAGGAATCAGAAATTATTTGTATCAGTATTAGTTATCGCGTATATTCAGTTACTCCATCAATTAGTCGTGAAATTATACAAGTAGGTTTATTTGTATGTTAGTCCGATTTAGTCATAGTACCATTAGTGAGTAAATTTCTGTTGAAAGTGAAAACGTAATTTGTGGACTTAGACCTACAAATCAACAGTGTACAAAAGAGATTAGCATGTAGCAAACGTTAAGGAAGAAATATACGAATTTATTATCATTACTGGATTGAACATCACATTATTTTCACTAACTAATTTAAAAGAACCCACCTAATTATAGACCACCTTACAACACACTCTTCTTCAACGTAATTTTTGCTTAACTTCAGCAAATAAATATTAGACGCAACAGAAAAAAAAATCCATGAAGTTATAATAGTTATTGATAGTCATAATTTTTAAAGGCTATATTCAATAAGATTTGGTGACAGAAAACATCAGATTCAAAGGGCGGGGTTTATTCATGTTGATTGAGCTGAAGTAATCCAGATAAAGTGCGTTTGCTGAAAACCAAAAGAAAAGCTTACCTTCCTATCATGGTAGAACAAACATATCCATAAACATTTACGTTGTCTGTAAGACACTGATAAATTACCTGAGCTCATTATTCAAGAACATTGACAACAAAAACTTTTCATATAATTGTTTCAAAACCTTATAATTTGGATAAATTACTATGTAAAACATATACACGAACTATTCTTTACATTAAATACTTTTCTTTAATTGTGATCTTTCAGCTCTCTCTCAGCAGCGCTTTCATCAGGCAACAATGTACTAAGCAACAGTGATATTGTACAGTGCACTGTTCCCGGTGAAGGCTCCGACAAGAGGACCAAAAGTATGCAATTGAAGAAAAGTATTGTTACGTATCTGCTTGTTTGATAATTTCCGGTAAAAAATTATTTCCGAATGACTTCAGTAATACAAGTCCTTTCTT